TGGCTCTCAGTCCGGGTCCCCAGTTCTCCGACAGGGTGGCCACGGCAGAGTTTCCTCCTCTGCCGCCCCCGACCCGGCCATTTTGGTGACCGTCCACGCCCCTAGCTGGATGGCCGCCACGAGTCAGGCCCTTCCTCAGTCTACGGCCGCACCAGCCTAGATTCCGGTTACGACGGCCACGGGACCACAACCCGTTACCATGGTCTCAACGTTTTCGAGTGCCCAGCTCCTCCCCCCCCTTCGCACGACCGCAGCGCCATCTGACTCTCCCCCCTCTGGGATGCCCCGCGCCGCTTGTGCATCCACTTCCTCCACTCTTCCCCCTGCTACCCCTCGCACGACCTACGTTCGAGGTCTCGAGGACGAGATTGCCCAGCTCCAGGCCAACCTCGCCCTCTTACGCCTTCAGCCACCCCCACCCTCACAGGTGGCCGCGCCTTTGGGTGCACCCCCTACCTCCTCTACCCTTCCTCCCATGCAGGCACGCTTTCCGCGCCCTACACCCTATACAACTCCTTCCTACCCTCTTCCTACTTCCGCGGTTGCTGCGACCTCTTCTACCACAGCACCCTCGCAGCCTGCCGCTGTTGCCACCGCTGCTCCCCCATGAGGCCCGGGCGCACAGTCAGCTGCGCCCCTTTCTCCAGGACCTGCGCCGACTTACTCAGTCGTGGCACAGGCCTCCGCTCCTCGATCCCCTCGCCGCCAAAACGGTGGCGCATCACTCATCCGCTTGTCGGACATTGCCTTGTATGACGGTACAGGCATACGTGTGTCTCAGTGGCTTCAGTCTGCCACCCGCACACTCCAGCTCATGGGCGCCACACCCGAGACGTGGGTGGGTCACCTCTCCACGCGCCTGCGTGGCGGTCCTTTCGAGGCCTGGGAGGATTTCTATGCCTAGTCCCTTCGTGAGGGTCGGACTCCGACCTTCGTGGATTTCCAGGCGTTCCTCGAGGATCGCTTCGGAGCCCGATACGACGTGACTGACGCCTTCGAGCGTGTCGTCACTACACGCTGGTCCGGCTCTGGTGGCGTTGTCGGCCTGGATCGCCACATCCAGGTCTTTCAGGACGCCCGCCTCGTTTGCGACGTGGCGTTCCTCCCCGAGGCTGCCCTTATCGATCGTTTCTTGGCCAGCCTTCCGGTCGAGTACCGCTCTGAGCTATGACAGTACGAGTTCACATCGGCCCCACAGGCTTACGAGGCCGCCAGGGACCACCAGCGGATGTGAGCCCGTCTTCAAACCCGCCTCCTCCTCCCAGCCCCAGCGCACAGGCTACGCCTCCTCCTCCTCTCACGGCACTTCCCAGCGCCGTTCCCCTTTCCGCGGCCGCCCCCGCCGTTCCACGCAGCAGGGCCGCCACTTCTCGCGCCGCTTCAACGCGCTGGAGTATGGTGAGCAGGACGCTATTGCCCCACTGTCATCTGAGGGCGACCACAGCGACGACCTCGATCTCTGCGAGGCCGTCCACTATCACTTGGAGGACTCTACCCTCCCTGCAGCTGAGCGCCTTCAGCTCGCGCTCTCTACCCTCTCTCGGGCACGCAGCCGCCCCGGTCACGCTGGCGCATCGCCCCCCGCGGTCCCTCAGGAGGACCTCCCTCAGGGCTTCGTCCCTCCTCGTGGTATCCTTTCCCCTGAGGAGCGCGCGGCTATTCTAGGCCGGCGTGGGTGTTTGCGCTGCCGCTTGGACGGTCATACCTCCTCGCGGTGCCCTTACACTACCGCCCTCGACCGCCACTACGCTGACCTTTCTCGTCAGCGTCGTGCTCAGTCCCCCCCCGGCGCCTCAGGTCCCCGCGGCGCCTCCTAGCCACGGTGCAATGTACACCTGCGCCCTCCTCAGTAGTGGGCTTCCCGACATCTCCATCGCGGTTCGCCCCTCTCGCTACTGGAGTTGAGGTATCGCAGGACTCGACAGAGTGTACTCAGCCCTCTATCGCAGTACCGTTTAGGCCTCCGCAGATCACCGTCTCCCCTCCTTCCCCGCCGCGACCACCAACACGTCGATCCATTCGCTCAGCCCGTTGCAGCAAGCATCTTGCTACTCGCGAGGACGTTGTGTCCTCTCTTCTGGACTTGAGCATGCTCCAGGCTCGTCAGGAGCGACTCACCCTCCATGTCGCTGCACTGTGTCGCCTTCTCGCCATCCTCTCTGACACTGATGGCACCCTCCCGATCATCCCCGTACGACTCGGGACCTCCACGAGGGTGTACTCAGCACTGTGGGATTCCGGTTCTCAGGGCGACTTCATTCACCCACGCGTGGTGAAGGAAGCCCGCTTACCCACGACAGGGTCTCCGACTCCCATCTTCGTTACCCTAGGGGATGACAAGACCCAGCGCTTCTTCGATCAGACGGTCACCGACCTCCCCTTCTTCCTCACTCTCGAGACGACTGAGCGTTCCCCGGCGTCTCGTCGCCACCGCTCCTCTGCACATTTCGATGTGATGGAGACGGGGTACGACTTCATTCTCGGCACTCCGTGGTCTCGTCGGTTCCGCAGCACCGAGGCCGATTGGGAGACCAACACTCTCGTTCTCAAAACGAAGTGTGGACAGACGTATCGCGTACCTTTCATAGGTACAACAACGATACTACGCCCCGATCCTCCTCCCCCGGAGCCTTCAGTGCCCACACCATCTCCCTCTATCACTGTCACCTCGCCTCGGCAGTTCGCTCACTTCATTCGACAGGACGACGTCACCTTCTTTATGGTGGACGTGACGGATCTCTTACACTATGATCCACCCTGTCCCGACGCCGAGCTCATCCCTCTGGAGCCAGATCCTCCCTCTATCTCCATGGCTCCCATCTCTACTTTCGTCCCTCTGCCGTCTGTCGAGTCCACCCCGCCGTCGCGCGCTGACGTTGACGCTGAGGAACTCGTATGATATACGATTGACTTGGAACCCGCAGTTCGTGACCTCATCCGAGAGTACCACGACGTTTTCCCATCGTCGTTCTCGTTCGCCGGCATCCCACCGATGCGTGACGTCGAGCACTCCATTCAGCTCGTGCCTGACTATCGTGTTCACCACCAGGCACCCTACAGACTCTCGATGCCCGAGGCCACCGAACTCAAGCGTCAGCTTAAGGAGCTCCTGAGACTGGGTTTCATTAAACCTAGCAACTCCTCGTGGGGTGCACCCGTCCTCTTTGCTCGCAAAGCGGATGAAACTCTTCGTCTCTGCATCGTCTACCGCGGCCTCAACCGTTACACGGTTAAGAACAGCTACCCCATGCCTCGTTCCAATGAGCTGTTCGACCGCCTAGCAGGCAACTGCTTCTTTCTGAAGATTGATCTTCGTAGCGGTTACCATCAGATCTGGGTTGCTGCAGCCGACCAGCCGGAGACCGCGTTCCGATCGCGATTCGGCCACTACGAGTTCACGGTGATGCCATTCGGCCTCACCAACGCACCCGCTACCTTCCAGAGGGCGATGAACAACATCTTCAGGGACATCCTGGAGCAGTACGTTCTC